TCTGTCCAAAGGGTAGTCCAGCGGAGAAAATCAACATCAAGTACCTGGAAACAGAGTATTGACAGAATTTTTCCTGACCTCAAAGCGCAGAATCTCGGTATATCCATCCGATTCAGTCTATCCGTTGAGGTTTTCGGAGCTTCCACTATTACTACCACTAATATTGTTCTAGCCAGTCCTCACATCTAATAATCGCTTCCGGGGAAAAGTGATACATTTCAACTAACAAAATCCGCGCTGGTTGCAAATCTGGTCAACCAAAATAAGTAACCATCATGAGGAGATTGTGCCTTTAACACATTGTGATGGCTTATGTGCGTCCAAGATTGTGTGAGCCAAACAGGGTCGTCATCAACAGTCGCACAGCCAATCACTTCTGTGGCTTTCATTCGACCACGGATAAGTCAGCTCAGCCAACAGACACGGAAAGAGGCAGTTCATCCTTAAAATATCGCTAGATCGACTCGTGGCTGTAGGAAGTGAGGCTAACTCTCGGGTTCGGGAGAAATATACACGTTCTATTCAACGGCTGTCACGCCAAAACCAAGCAGTCTTCAGTTAATGGAATGCTAATCGATCACTGGTTCGATTTTCGCAATCCCAAAAGGTGCATGCATGACATAAAGACACATTTGGCAACAGCCGAACGAGTCCATGGAATAGAAAGGTCACATGTACTGCACCCCGGTGCGTTCAAAGCTGCTTTGCGTTCGAGAGATCCTGGGAGATTTGTGAGTGGAAAACATTCAAAGACTGGAAGTCATTGCCTGTCGATGTTTACTTGTTTTGCGTAGATATGATGGAATGTGCGGGTTGGCACCACTGAAATAAGCCGCCGTGTAGTCGGGCATTACACAATGAGAGATTCATTATCACACCGAATTCAGATGAGCAGGTTTGACTGGTTAACAGCTGACTTCGACCAACTACTTGCTGCTCTTGCTCCGAGAGGGAGGAAATCAAGCGGAAATCAACAGATGACATGGAGAGAAAGCGTGAAGAAACCTAGAGAGCGATTAGGTAGTGTATTGTGTTGTGTTTAGCCTAAACGTACTGTTGCTTAACTACCAACAATACAGAGAGAAAGAGAACACGACTCGAGACAACAAACGCGTGGAGGACAGCAGATGACGTGGAGACGAGGCATAAAGAAATGCACAGAGCGATTAGGTAGAGTTGGTGTCTCTCGTCTTCTGTGTTGGGGTCCAAAAGACTCCGAAACCGCATGGTTAGAGACACTGAAGGTCATGGCTGCGAACCGACAGCAATGGCAATCATGTTGCCACTTATCAGACCAGAATGCTTGAAATAGTATGTATGCACAATTGGACTGTGTACTCTGTGTTGACCATAGAGGTTCGCTATCTTGTCCCATCCGTAAAATTAAGTTAGGTCCCTATTCTCCTTACACATTCTCACTTACCTTGTACGCAATATGAGTTTGGCAGCGATCAGTGAAGTTCGCTTCACTGTATTACGCTGTACAATGATGATGAGAATAAAGGACGTAACCTCGTACAAGATTCTTCGAGGAGTGGTTCAAGAATCTAACGTATTATAACGCAAAATAAGTTCAGCGGAAAGTATAGGAAAGAGGCTAATTGAGTGAGAGAAATAAACTATGGGAACGGCATTTGTACCAGTTTGACGGGCATACTGAAAGAAAGGGATTGGGTGCGAATCCAGTTATTAAAAATATTCCAAACTATACATCAAAGCCAAGTTAAAGTCAGGAACGCACTATTACAAAACATCAAACACACAAAGCATCCCTCTGCAAAACTGAATGATACGCACCTTGAGCAATTTGCCAGTATTTCGGGATACTAACTCCAAAAATAACTCTGGATCTTTGTCCCAAGCTTGTTTCGATGTTGATGGAGTGACGTCATTTACCGGAACGTTTTCAACGGTTGCTGCAGGCGTTACTGCTTCCGACGATTCCTCCGGTTTGTCCGACGAGGCTGGCAATGGCGGAAGTCGATAGCGAGTTTGCAAATAGTCTGGGCGAACCCGAGCTAATACATCACCGATGTACAGGTCTGGTTGATGGAGATACTCAACACGTACCTAGGAAGAAGTGAATATATAAATTTAGCCCAACATACTTCCGGAAGATAATTGAGGTGGTAATGAAGGCGATTTGGGGGTTGGAGAAAATCTTCAAATTGAAGGAAAACAACATGCCAGATCCTATATTTAAAAACAACGTGGTTTCGCACAAAAGAATCAGGCATGAAGATAAGTTGTCTGCAGTGTTGAGACTGAGAATTCGACTTGGGCCCTTTGAGCATCTGACTATTTGATGTATGAGATCTCCTGGTACACCTATATACACACGTGAAATCCGTACCCCATGGCTCACTGAAGGAAAAGAATGACAGATCACCAGTATCCTACGCAATACATGATGGCATTATCAGTGAGATTCTGGTGTTTCAAGCAACTGGAAAACCACGTAATCATTTCTGACAACAAAACGTGATCAGCATCTGGTTGATGCATGAACAAAGCAGCAGGTGCCGGTAGCATGTAAAAAGGTGAAACATCATACATTTGATGGGCAGTTTTTTCCCAATTATTCGAGATTCGCATCAATAAAAGAATCGCGTTTACATGAAACTGGATAAGAATAGAGACAGCTATCATCATCCAGGGGGGGGGAGCAAAACGGCCACGATTCAGCGTTGAAGTATTACTTACGACGCCTTTCATCACGAGTTCTGCTTCGGTTGCACCGTCCGGATAAACAACACCAGGACAGTCTATGAGGAATATGGACTTCATCAAATTGACATACTGCCATACTTTGGTCTCCCCAGCCAGTGGGGCCACATTGCACACCTTTTTGCTACTGCAGGTGCGAAACCAACGAGTGGGGGAGGGGGGAGAGAGAGCATGCAAACGCATGTGATGCAATGAATTCCTGTGCTGCAAATGTGAATGGATAACACTGAACAAGTATTGTACAGAAAATCACGACTTACAAAGATGTGAGAAAGCACAGTTATGGTGCGCAAACAGAAACTGAACGAGTGAAGTAGGCCAGGTTTCAGCTCTCATGGTCAATAACCTTGTAATGTCGTGTGATAGTTTTGGTTGGCTGAATCTGAATCCGAAACGGGACAAGAGACTGAACAAACATGTGGGTTGGAGAGGAGCCACAAGGAACTGATTGGGTAATTGTATTAAACATATTCGCACTTAGAGACCTGAAACTAATACTTAGCGAGTAGACAATGGACGCCGTTTGACGCTTCTTTTCCAACATTACTGTGCGGTTTATGAACTTAACATGCTAGATCATCTTGTCTGCGTGACATGTTAAAGCCTTCAGTTCCAAGGCTCGTCAGTTCAGGACCTTTGTCGTCCTTTACAGTGGGTTTGATCCTATCGATGGGCTTCAGGGTTACAGGAGGCAGTAATGCGGTCAAACGATGCAATTACTATAGGATAGTGTGTACTCTACTTTGGGTCACCTTCAGTTTGTCCAACTATTAACCATGAACTTTCGTGCGCCGGTTTTGGTTGCTGTCTTTTGGCTGACCATTTGGACGAACAGTAGGAGAAAGACAGGGAGGTTGAAGGTAGAGTCGAAAAGAAAATCGATGACTCCAGTAAACTAAAACTGCAAAGAAATTGAGGAGATGCACGAATGCCATTGTTTACGACACTCAGCTACATCACTCAGTGTATCTAACCATCGGTTACAATCATTCCGAGGTCCCCATCCAGGGAGCCTAACGGGACCTATGTGATCTAGTTTCCTGGTTAAAGTTTTCATACCCTCGTGACAGGTCCTAGCTTGACCACTCCGGGATTTATTCCGCCCACTACCTGCCTCGGCGAACATCGCTCGTCGTGGCAACCTACTTGTTGACATGCGTAACAGAGGCCCCAACCAACGTAAGCTATCGAGGTCGACCACTTGTCCAGTGGGCGACTGCATTTACCAAAACTCTGCACCTAACCTCAGCATTTCTCGTCCGGCTACCCCACCAGATTCGTACAACGTTACGTAGACAGCGGTGTTCGAATACTGACAGTCTATCTTTATCCCGATTCCCTAAGGGCTACTTTCTGCGTCATATAGCAGAACTGACGAACTGCTGCAGCATACACTCGACCCTTCAAAGACAGCCGGATGTCGCGACGGTGCCACAGTTGTTGCAAATAAGCGAATGCCAACCGAGCTTTTTGTATGCGAGCTGACACTTCATCCGTGATGTGCACACCGAGTAAGATGTAGCTGCCTAAATAACAAAACTTATCCACTTGCACCAATACTTCCCCAGATAGGGTGAGGCTGGGTGCTGGACCAACCCAATCATCAAGTCAAGTCAAGTATTTGCTTTATGCACCCTGAAAGGTGGATATTCAGCAGTCCCATAGTCATCTAACAA